ACATTTGAACAAATAAACAATGTGCGAATAAATGCGTTAACAAGGCAACAATTGAAAGATTACCATTGGGTAACATCACCTTTATTTTTTATTACGGCTGAAATTCTTTGGAGCATAGTGTTAACCAAGTTTTGGCAAACATTTGGTGTAAAACAATCCCATATTTCTTGAAGCTTTTGTCTCAGTTCGGTGATTGTACAAGCAGGATGTTGTCGTAGAACCTTTTTCATCTCGTGCCACAAAGTTTCAATAGGTGACAGATCTGGACTGCTAGAAACCCATTTAAAAAGTGGTACATTATTTTCTTTCATCCATTTTATAGCCTTTTATGAGGTATGGCGCGCTGCACCATCTTGCTGAAACACAAAATCTTGGCCGGATTCAAACATTCTTCCATCACTGGTAAAAGCGATGCTTCTAAAATTGCCAAATATTTGTTTGTATCCACATTTCCATCAATAAAATGAAGTTTTCCTACTCCTTTTGATGACATACTGCCCCAGATCATAATTGATGCTGGAAATTTCACTTTTCTCTTCAGACAGTCAACATGGAATGCTTCTTTTTTTGCGAATAACTCTACTGCGACTGTCAGCAACACAAACTTCGAATCGGGCCTCATCGCTCCATTGTATTGCACACCATTGTTGAGGTGTCCATTGTCTATGTTCTTTAGCCCATCTAAGCCGATTTTTCTTTTGCAGTGGAGTTAATAGTGCCTTTCTTTATTCCTATAAACAAGTTGTGCAACTTTAGGGTTTTTAATTCACTTTTTTTTATAAAAAAACTTACCTTGCAAGTGCTAAATCCCAGTTTGTGGGCCTCTCTATGAGTTGTGGACCTCGAAATTCTCCTTCCAACAGCGTCACTCCACAGAGCACTTAATTGTAAATAATTGGCACGCGTGTTTTTCACGATTATTCTTCTTAATGCTCTTCGGTCGGCATTTGTGATGTTACTTTTTTTCACATATCGTGGCTTAATATTAACTGAACCAGTTACGTTACATCTCATAACAATATTTCCCACACTGTACCGCGATAAGTCTAACAAAGTTGCAATTTCTGAGTTTGATTTCCCAGAATAAAAAAATTTAATTATCAGTAACCGAATTTTCTCACTAATAACCATTCCTCTACCCATTTTGAAAACCTTAATTACCCAAAACTATTTTAAACGTATTTTGACAGCTGTAATTAATAAAAACAATTGTCATGGCTTTTATTTTTCACAGCCACCTATGCGTTATAGACTGATTTTGCATTGAAATGACAATAGGTTGATTAGCTGTAATTGCAACATGTGTTATTTTTATGCTGCAAATTTGATTAGGGAGTGATAAAGTTGGTGTTTTCTACTATATATTATCAAAATATCCATTGTTAATATTTTAAACCCATGCTACATTTTTATTATTTGTGTTTGATAAGAAAAAAAACTAAGCTTTCAATAGTTGGGCCAACTGAAGTCGGAAGGGGCTCGTAATGATTTGGGGCTGTTGTAATGGTTCCGCTCTCGGGAATATTGTGAGCGTACAGGGAATACTGAATAAAGAAGGTTAAAAAATCATGTTGTGCCTTCCGGGACTCGTCTTATCGGTCCGGGGAGTGTCTTTCAATGACGCCAAATACACATCCAAGCCCTGTAAACAGTTGTTGGAAGTAAAAGCAGAACAAATTATTATCTCAATAACACTTATGGAGAATATTACAAGACGAATAGCGAAAAATAACCTAAATCACTTTAGAAAAATTAGTTGCGCGTTTACCCAGGCTGTAAACTGTAAAGGAGTACATATTGAATGAGTCAAAAATATGATTATCTTGATTATAAATAGTTGTATGTTTTTAAGAATTAAGAAAACAAATGTTTCAAACAGATATGGTAATGTTTTCTTTAATAGGAAGTTATTAAAGAAAACATTACCATATCTGTTTGAAACATTTGTTTTCTTAATTCTTAAAAACATACAACTATTTATAATCAAGATAATCATATTTTTGACTCATTCAATATGTACTCCTTTACAGTTTACAGCCTATTTTCCTTGTTTTTGGGTGTTTAAATACCTTTGAACGGTAGTGTATGTCCATATAAACATTTCTTCCCAAAATGAGCTAGGGAATCATATCCTCTACTTTCAGCCATCAATCAAATTAACGCCTGACAGTACTGACGAAATCAAAGTTGATCTGGCAACGCCGCACTCCGTTCGCCGCGAGCTCGCTAGATGTCGCCGTCAGTCCGTCGATTGACGCCGTCGCTCTATACGCGGCCGACCTAGAATCCCGTTCGCGACCGACAGCCGCCGAACTCTCAAATATGCATACGGTCTCTTTGCACCACTTTACACGTTTAAATGGGAATTTTAATGATTTTTAAATAAAACATGAATTACCTGTTATGCAGCGACGACGTCGTCGGCCAGTGACTCCCGCTCCAGCGACGGCATAATAATTTTTTAATGTTTTATTCTCTTTGAGTTCTTTGACGTGCAGCTTTGTATCCGGATGAATGAAAAATGCGGGCTTTTAATCGCCTCCCTTCAAAAGTTATACGTTCGTATACGAGCCCGCCAGCTAACTAGAGCAAAACAGGAGTTGCGAAATAGACGCATTGTTCGACATTTTTGAGAATCGGAATATTGTACGAGGTTACATTATTATGTATCCTTTGAACTGCGACTGGTTTTGATTCAAAAGGTGTCGTTGTGAACTGGTAGTGTATAACTTTATAAAAGATCTTCTACAATTCAGACGACAACCCGTTTCTTTTTATTTTATTACGGTACAGGAAGGGTACAAGGTAATTTACTTCAGCAACTTGAAGATACACTATCAGATATTTGACACGGTGGGTACACGCTTTCGATTCAATTTCCATTCAGTATTAGTCTATGCGGAAAAGACACAGTGGGCGACACGTTCATTGTAGAAATAACTCCAGAGAAAATTCTGACGTTTAATCAAAACATTGAGATTGTTGAAGTTCACAATAAGGAGAAGTTTCAGTGTAAGGACGTATGCTGCATGTGTAATTAAATATAAAGAAATCCTTTTAAAGAAATGGATGTCGAACAACAATATACAGGGTGGCGCATCGAAAACGAAACATACGTATTTACTGGCAGCTCAGTTTTCTTTTTGGAATAACGCTCAGACCCGTCGATTTTGTTTTCGAGGGGGACACAAGTTTGGCAAAAAATCACGTTAACACGTGCAGCCCTCTGGGCGGGGGTGACACCAACCCTAAAATCTTAAATGGAAAGGGGGGTCGAGTGATACCTCATTTTAAAGGTCTTTCAATTCCCTTTATAATGATATAACATTAATCTACTTCAGTTCAGTAGTTTTGAAGATTTATGGATTTAAAGCTTAAAGTAGACTTTAATAGGTACATCAGATTAGTTTGTACTACTTCCAGAAGAAATTTGACTAAAAAAATTTACTTAATAAGTAAATGCTGATTCGTTTTCGATGCGCCACCCTGGAAATATATATATATATATATAGGTGAAAAATTAAAGCTTCCGCCTTTTGTTGGGTACTTCGACAAAATTTACGCAAGGAGGACTCTTTATACTTTTTTAATCTCTCTAGCTTTCAATGGTCTTTGCCATCATCATCAGGAGCTGCAATTACAATGATAACAGTAGCAACAAAAGTGTAAAATGAATTTAAATTGACTCAACTTACAGTAGTATATGAGAATGTTGCTAATTGTTGTTTACGTATAGGATGAGGGAAACGTCCAGTAACATGGTGAGAGCTGGATACATGGCACAATGGTCAAAATTATATAAAATATGACAAGAACAAGTTAAAAACAGATTAAAAATTATTTAAAAACATTAGAGCATTACATCGTGATGATTGCAAAAATGGTGGTCATGGAATAATGAGTGAGATGACCCTTTGACAGAAGGCCGAAGGTTGTCAATGTCTGTGTTGAAAGATGGAACGAATTGTGGGCGTGTGCCAAAACGTTGCCAAATCACTTCAGATGATGTGATTTTCAGAATGTTATGTAAGAAATTGTTAAACCGACCAGAGGCAGTTGAATAAACTCTTTTTTAATTAATGGGAATTTAAATTAACAATTATTAATAAATCGTGAGAAGAGAATTATTATATTTTGAGTGGAATGAAATTTACTGGTGGAATCGGCCAAAACACAGATTCTATTTATGGTTGTGAAGAGTCGAAATTTGGGGAGATATGCAAGTTCTCCAATTTTTCCAACTGGTCTCGACGACAATGACCACGTCTCAATATATATATATATATATATATACAGACAAGAATAAGAAAGTTGGAAGTTCTTAAACACCACCGTACACGATGTTGTGTTTAAGATACCAGCAATAACCCTAAAAATCTTTTTCTGTGAGATAAAAATGGAATCTACATGGATCGATGTTCCCCAAAGACAGATTCCACACCTTAGTGTGCTATCAATTAAGGCATAGCTAATGAGCTTTGGCTGTTATCAAAAACAGTCAAGTTATGAAACATTTATACATAAGAGTTTAAAGTATTTTCAAGTTTATCGCATGCGATTTCCATGTCCAAATGCACACTCATCCAAGAGAAGACCGACTAACTAACAAGCTTCATTTGCTCTTTTGATATTTCCATTACAATGAAATAAAAGGTCATTAAGCTGGTGTTGGCGAGTTTTGTATTGAATTATTCCAGTCTTTTCTGGGTTTAGATATGAATAGCGTATTAACGAAATAAAAAACTGTGAACATTTGTCCTCACTGATGGTAACATACAAATGAGAAACAAAATCATATACACGCACCGAGTCGATCCACTTGATTCGGTAAGTTTCTAGATTCCCTCCCGTTACTATGCAGTCGGCCTAGATTCGAGAATTTTTAATTTACCCATGCGTCGCAATCATCATAACTGAAGCACTGCACCGAAATGAATTGATCCGATAATTTAATGGAAATCTATATGTATGTATATATATATATATATATATATATTTAGATGCGAACAAAATAATGTGAAATGAATAGCTGCGGGGTTTCAACCATATCCGTTCTATCATGTTCGGTTTGATCCAATCGGGCGATCGCTTGATGAGATGAGGGAGGGGGAATGTAGCTGATGTCGTCAAAGCAGCTATTAATTCACATTTACATCAGTATATTAAATTTCCCCGAGCTGGGGGAGCTAGGTAAAATACATTCGATGTTTTAGTAAATTGTTGCTCTCTCGATTTCTATCGACGCTCTCGTTTAGTTTTGCAGCTTGTCAACTAACCTTATACTGACTAAAGTTGCTCGGTTGTCCACCGAGACTAAGCCTGATGAGTTGCCAGATAGCACGAAACAGCTCTCTTTTTTACTAGTTGGATAATTGGCGAGTAGACCGTATTTAGTATAGCCCTAGAATCGGCGGCGTTTTACGTAAAAAACCTATAAAACGTAAAAAAAAACGACAAAATGTCAACATGCTGTCTATATAGTTCCTCGTGTGCAAATAGTACATTCCGCGTCTGCCACATTTATTCATAATACCTTGAATACGATTCCTTGTTATAGTATCTAAATAGGGTTAGTTAACCACTAAGCAATATGATATTTTTGAAAACAAGAGTCACACAATTGCTGTCGCACAGATTTATGTAATATAGCCTTATTTGTAACTAAAACCCTGAAAATAGCACTGAAGAATTAGATAGTTTACGTGTTCAACAAATCATCCATTATAATATCTAGGTTCTTCGAATGATCCCACAGGTACTATTTTATGTCGCTTGTTTAAGTACTCCTTTCTATTTTATTTGTCTATTCCAACATATTTGTCTTTAAAATGTTCAAATGAATATTACGACTCCTACTAGACTTTTCAATTTGAACAAAACCTTGATTACTTGTATTATTAGCTGTTTCCAAGTCATTACTTCAAAACGAATAGAAAATATGAGTATCTTAGGTGAAAAATTGTATGCTGCATGATTTTATCCCTTTTCTAAATCTGAGATATATAATGAAAATAATAGGGGTCCTAACACAGATCCCTCTGGTACACTAACACACATTTTTTTGTGCGGTAGGTACTTCTTTAAACCGAGTAGACAGCTTGCTCTTTCTACTTTCACAGTGGTCTACTCTGGTAAAAGATATATATATATATATATCTATACAGGGTGACTTCGAAGTTGAGTCATTTATTTTAACAGTGAGTAGATCTGATCAAAAGAAATGTTTTTTTCCTTTACCATTTTTCTGGTAAAATTAAAGTAACAAAGTTATAGCCCTTTGGAAGTTTGAGTACCGCCCTGTCTCAATAATAATATTATGTGCTCGTGTTTGGCGACAACTGATATAATCCGCCTTATCGGTTCATCGCATCGGAAACAAAAAAGCGAAAGAATTTGGAACGATGTTTTTACAATTATTTGTATACAGTCAGTGTCAGTCGGTAACGCGTGAGTGAATAGTGGTGTCTGTTGCGTGGCTCAAACGAAATCAAAAATGGCACATGTTTACGAAAATGCTGAACTTGTGGACATGCGGCATCACGGATTTATGCGGATCGGTTTCCCAATCGAGTGCAACCAACCCCTCGTGCCTTTGTTAATGTAGTACAAAGGGCTCGTGAATCAGGTGACTTACGACCTCACAGAGGACGGCAAGTCAGTGCTCCAAGACCGCACGATCAAATACAGGTCCGCACTGAAATACTTGTCGGGAGGATACTTTATAAAACAAGGTAACATTTTTTTTTTATTTTTTTTTTATTTTTACACACATATTTTGGTTTATCTTCCATCTACAATCATTATCTGAAAATTAATGACTCAACCTCAAAGTCACCCTGTATAAATATTAAACTCTTTGAATCCTTTTTGGAATAAGACTTATAATTATTGTTCACTGCAAGTCAAAACTCAGTCCATTTTATAACCGAAACTTCAGCTGTTTATTGAATTTATTTATGCCATTATTTTGACCGCATGGAAGTCAGGCTACTTGATCGATTGAAGTTTATGAAAAGGAGTGTAGGTAACATCCTCTACATTTGTCGGACCCTATTACGTATGTACCAACAGCGTCCCTCCAAACGCACTGGTGTCATCAAGGCTTTATTTGGACAGAGAATACTCAGATATGCAATATTTCAGTCTGATCAAACGCAATGTGGTAATATATCGTGGTCGATATCAATATAATTAAATAAGTTACAAAATATGGGGATAACGGGTACTGTGTATGATTTCATTAAAACTTATTCACTTAACAGGAAACAATATGTGAAAATTGGTGAAACAAATAGTGAGTGGTTATCTAGAGACTACGGTGTCTAACAGGGGTCAGTCTTGGGACCACTATTATATTCTCTATATATTCTAAATCTAAAGAGTATCAATCTTAATGCCGGGTACCGATAAAACAAAATATCTAATTTTTAAACAGAAGAATAAAATAATTGAACGCCTTTAAATAAGAATAAATAATGTTATAGTATAAAAAGTACAAGCATCAAATATCTGGGTTTAATTATCGATAATAAGTATTTACCTAAGCAGATACAACTTAACTAAGAAAAACAAAAAAAAATATTAATAATGCATTTTTCTTGGCATACTTTAGATACATGTAACCTATTTAGGGGATGTGTGGTAAAACTGAATTTAGCACAGAGAACACGTTTCGCAAAATTGAATGTTACGAGTTTTGTTCAACTATCACCGACTTGCCAATACGGATAATAATGGGTGATTTTTTTGCTAGTATCTTTTTGGCAACACTGTTTTTGACAGATGACGCGTGAATCGTGTCTTGTGTCATTGTCAAGCTTGTTCAGTTTGGTCTATAATTTAACCATGAATCGACCTACGAACGAACAACGCTTGCATATTATTGAATTTTACTATCAAAATTCATGCTCGGTTAAGAGAGTGCATCGAGCACTGCTTCCAATTTATGGGCAATCTGGTCGGCCTACTGAGGGAGCTATTCGGAAGCTTCTGACTAAATTTCGAACCCAGTTTACATTATTGGACATTAAACCACCAACACGCACACGTAGAGTGAGGACTGAAGAAAATATTGCGGCTGTATCCGCCAGTGTTAGTGATGACCGTGAAATGTCGATTCGCCGCCGTTCGCAGCAATTGGGCCACTACGTGGAAAATTTTGCGACAGGATTTGGGTGTAAAACCTTATAAGATACCGCTGGTGCAGGAATTGAAGCCACACGACTTCCTACAACGTTTCCAATTTGGTGAATGGGCGCTGACAAAGTTGGAGGAAGATCCAAATTTTTATCGAAAAATTGTGTTCAGCGACGAAGCTCATTTCTGGTTGAATGGGTACGTTAAAAAGCAACATTGCCGCATCTGGAGTGAAGACCAGCCAGAAGCATTGCAAGAGCTACCAATGCATCCCGAAAAAATCACTGTTTGGTGTGGATTATGGGCCGGTGGTACTTCTTCAAAGACGACAATGGCCGGAACGTAACTGTGAATGGCGAGCGCTACCGTGCGATGATAACAAACTTTTTTGGCGAAAATGGAAGAGCTGGACTTGGCTGACATGTGGTTTCAACAAGACGGTGCTACATGCCACACCGCACACGAAACAATGGCCCTATTGAGAGGCGAGTTCGGTGAACAGTTTATCTCACGTTTGGGGCCCGTCAATTGGCCGCCTAGATCGTGTGATTTAACACCGTTGGACTAATTCTTGTGGGGCCATGTTAAGGCTAATGTCTATAAGGATAAACCAGCAACGATTGACGCACTGGAAGCAAATATTCAAGCATTTATTCGTGAGATACCGGCCGATATGTTGGAGAGAGTGTGCCAAAATTGGAACTTGCGCATGGGCCATCTAAAGCGGAGCCGCGGCCAACATTTACATGAAATAATCTTTAAACATTAAATTATATCGACCGTTCTATCGACTCAAATAAAGATTTAATCGTTTTTTCTGTTTTTTTTGAAAATCAAATCCTATACCTCTTAAAAAATCACCCGTTATGTACACAGAGTTGAATGTTTGTAAACTTAATAATCTGTTGGAATTGGATCAATGAAAATGATTTTAAAAATTTTAAACAACCAACAAAAGTGTAATCAAACATTCTGATCATGAACATCATGACCATGGATCAAGATCACATAATAAATTGTACCAGATTCCTACTAGAACCAATATGGGATTAAATAACCCTGTCACTGATGCAGTAAAAAATTTAATAACCAAACAGTGTAAAAATGTACATGTATTCAGAAATTATGTAAAGACATTCAAAAGTCACTTGAATTGCTGAATTTATTGTAGCTAAGATTCGCACTTCAAATATTGTTGTTCTCGTGGCCAGCGTTTTAAACACAGATTAGAGAATTCTATTTACTATAAAGTTTGTAAGAATTGACTATTGAAAAAAGATTTGTTTCAAAAAAAGTTCGCAGTGAGAAAATGCTATACGTACCTAGGTGGAGATGGCTATTATTGCCAGTGTTTTATACACAGATTAGAGAACTCTATTTCCCATAAAGTTTGTAAGAATTGACTATTCAATAAAGATTTGTTTCAAAAAAAAGTTATTAGTGTGAGAATTCTATACATACCTAGGTGGAGATGGCCATTATTGGCATAATTCTCCACCAATATATTCATGTACTATCATCCTGATTATAAAAATACAGATTAACATCACGAATCATAAAACCAAAAAGCATGGTTCCTCTTACAATCAAAAGTATCCACGCATCCGCTAAATCTTGTAAGGATAGGTATAAAGAAAGTCCGTTACGAAAAACGGTCTTTGAGTAGTAGAGTTGCGTGCTGAATCACTCACCCCGCCAAACAGGATTCACGCTTTATGGTTGCGATTTAGCTAAGATTCCCAGCATAACATAATAAGCTTATTGGTAAGGGTCGCTTTCCCAGTCGCTTTAAAGCAGCTTATACGCCTCTCATGCCTTGTGATGGAGTTGATACCTCAAGTGATTGGTTTGACGTTGTCGAGTGATGAAATTTTATTAGAGCTCTGATTTTCAGTATCTACACTTTTTCAAAGTTGAGCCGTTTATTTTAACAACGAGCAGAACTCGTCAAAAGAAGTTGATAGACCAAAAATCACCTATATATAAAAGTTGCATAATAAGAGAGCTAGTTTACATTACTAAAAAGTATTTAAAAGAATCATTATCAAGTTAAATGGATATCGGTTTTACTAAAACTGTTCAAAATTGTCCCTCTATTTGTTGGATCAACGCAAAATTTTGAAATAAAAAAAATGTCGCCGTTTTACGTAAGCAGACTGAATTCCAAGAAATTTACCGAAAGCACTGAATCTACATTCGTTTTAGTTTGTGGTGACGTTAATAAATATCACAATGGTTTTACAATTTCAACCTAAACTTCGAGGTGATTCTTGTTCTCAACCGACACAAAACAATCGTAAGATCATACGAAAACATGTTGCTGAGGCAGTAGAAACGTCAGTATTGTTTTCTAATCAAACTATGTGGTTTTAATAACAAGCTTGCACAATCGTAAGATCGAAAACATGTTGCTGAGGCAGTAGAAACGTCAGTATTGTTTTCTAATCAAACTATGTGGTTTTAATAACAAGCTTGCTTACACAGCGTCAAAATGCTCCCTGGCTGGAGTTAAATAAGGATACTTTTGTCGAAGTCTTTTTACGCTTTTTTTGAGTGTTTATTTCCGTAAAGATTCTAGTCAATGTGTACATTTCGGTTTTACACTAACCTGGTCATCTGACCACAAAGCAGCAGCCGCTGTTGCATAAAATGCTTTGTCATCCGAAAACGTGGTTCGTAAAGTATTAAAAAGTGGGCGTTACAAATCTGCTTACAGTCCGTTTTTCGAGAGGTTTTCCGGAATCACAAGCACAGAGAATGTTATAATTTTACAGAGGTTATAACGATCGAGGCTTAGACAGCATCACTACAAACTCCGATGCAAAGGTATAAAATGTATAGGTATAGTTTATTCACTGAAACAAATCAAAAAATTTTAGTGGCAACATAGATCCTAAATTGTTACGTATAGTTCGAATTTACCGGGTAAACTTATGTTGTTCTGTGATGTGACATTGTCGCAAAGCTTGTCAGATAATTACGCTAACCACTGTTGTTAATTTGTTGTTAATACAGATTTTTTTCAAAACTGAAGTGTCATTTTAAGCATTTTGCTAAAAACGACACCCACGTCTGGGTCGACAAGCAAAAGAATTTGTCATTTTTTTGACGAAATATTTTGAGACCGAACGAGATCATGGAGATCCAGCCTTTACAGTCCGTAAAAGAGGTATTAGGTAGTAAATAGGTTTTATACCGGCTCTAGCGTTTGCAAAACATACGCTCCGTAATGTTGGTTGCGGTCAGGCATCTGAGACATAATAAAATAGATTTTGTAAAATGTCCTAGGATCTAGTAGTTTTAATTAATGTGGCAACAATGTGCGTCACTGTCATTATTTGACGTAGTGACGTAACTGATTTGATTCAGTGAATAAACTATAGCTAGTTTTTCTTGCCGCACGCAGCATTGAGCTATATTCTTTGAATCAAACGCTTATTCCACTAACTACAATTTGCTGGTGATACAAACAAAGACTTTGACAACCCATTTCAGTATTTTAGATAAGCATGCTGTATAAGCCAGTATATTTTTGAAATATCATGTAAAGTCCGTTGAATCCGAAATGGTTGGTTGTGTACGAATATATTTTATTTTTATGATTTTAATATTAAGCTTTGCTTAAAGCACGATGTCAGCACATATAAATTGTAACTAGCACCCTAGAAGTATACAGGGTAAGGAGGAGTAATTCTAGCGTTGTACGATTATTGGTAAAGCATTTGTATGTCTCTTGTCTACAAATTAAAAATATATTTTTTAAATAAAGTTTTTATCAAAGACCTTGAGTTTATGTTATCAATAACGGTACATGTATGGCAAGCAATTATAAATCATACACGGTAGGTAGCTGAGGCATCGTAAGCTTACATTCATTTGAAAAGCTTGTATTTTTAAGTTTTCATTTTCTTTATGTCTAGTACTCTAAGCATAACTAACTTTGTTAAAGTTGTTTTTGTGTTTGTACATAAATTGATACAGAAACAGTGCTCTTAGCTCTAACAACCCACTCTCTGAAAATAATTTATCAGAAAGATAAGTATTTTCTTTGCCAGATACTTCTTTTAACATTCTTTTTTCCAGTACATCCAGAGGCTGAAAATGCCAATATGCGGCACTCCCCCAACTCAAAATAGCGTATCGCAAACGTCATTCAACTAATGAATCATACGACATTTTCAGGTGCATGTAGCCTTTGAGATTTCTTAAGTATTTAATGCGATATAAGAGTTGTCGTAAGGTATTTGTAATGTTAGTTATACAGGGTGCTTTTAAAGTCGAGTCATTTATTGCTTGTGGGACTCATCAAAAGGAGTTGATATACTAATAAACATCTATATGAAAGTTGCATAATAGAAATAGTAAAAGGTTAAACAATTTTAAAAATAGGAATTATTTCACAGATTTTTTGACATTCTCGACCACTGCCGTGTAAAATCTTAGCGTTTTTTGTTTACTATTCTTATCCTTTATCTAAATTTGGCAAACTTTTTGAATTACTAAATCGTTTTTAGTAAGAGTCTTTGGTTCGACCAGTTGTATCAGCCTTTTAATAGTGCGTATACTTTCATTTGTCTGATTATTTTGTTCTAAAAAATGGGCCATGCTTACGAAAACAATGAACTAGTGGACATAATACTAACATACGGAGAGTACCAACAAAATTCAGCCGCAGCATGCAGGCTGTATGCGGAAAGGTTTCTTTTAAAAAATCATCTGACCCGCCCGGCCCCACGGATGTTTGTAAATTTAGTTATTAGACTTCGTGACATAGCATATGTAAAAGAACTAGGAATTGCAGCAGCTCATTGAAGATTGTAAGACCCTTCAAGAACAATATTCTTATCTTTATCAACGGGTACAAGCGTTGCACCATGTATGTCTACAAATCTTCAATATCTTACAAAATTTGTATTTTTTCAATACAAGTCCAGATTCCAAACTTTCACCTTTACGATCGGTTACGATGCCTAGAGTACGGAGACCTGTACGATTTCGTCAACTTAGCGAGTTTGATAGGGGCCGTATAGTGGGACTTCGGGAAGCTGGACTTTCTTTTCGGGCAATTGCAGTTAGAGTGCAAAGAAGTGTAGACACTGTGGTTAGGTGTTGTCAGGCATGGCTTCGAGAAGGCCGTACGCAAAGAGCAAGGGGCACTGGACGCCGCCGTAGAACAACAGACCGTGAAGATCGCCGCCTAAGATTATTGGCCTTAAAGGACCGTTTCTCCACTACCAGGTCCATTGCAAATGAATGGTTTGCAGAACACGGAAGACCTATTGGCATGCGAAGTGTTTACCGACGAATGAGAAGTTTTGGCTTGTTTTCATACCGGCCACACTGGGTCCTCCTTTTAACTCGAGAACACCGACGTAATCGCCTTGAGTGGTGCAGACAACGGTCACTCTGAGATCAGGAATGGAACAGTATTGTCTTTAGTGACGAGTCTCGATTTTGTTTGGTCGTGCCAGGGTTAGAAGGCGACGTGGTGAAAGGAGGAATCCACAGTTTTTTGTTGAAAGACATGTTCATCACACTGTTGGAGTTATGGTTTGGGATGCTATAGCTTATGGTACCAGGTAACCTTTAATCTTCATCAGAGGTAACACGAACGCGCAGCGTTATATCCACGAAGTTCTAGAACCCCATCTTTTACCCTATCTTGACACCCTGGCAGATCCAACTTTCCAACAAGATAATGCCCGACCACATGTTGCAAGAGTCACAATAGACTTCTTTCAACATAATGATGTCACATTGTTACCATGGCCACCAAGATCACCCGACTTATCCCCAATTGAGCACGTGTGGGATATGATGGGTAGGAGATTGCTCAATTTGCAACGTCCTCCTCAGACTCTAGACGCACTTCACTGTTCTCCCTACCCTTTCCTAACATATTGTTCAGAACTGTGGATATTGAGTAAATGGCAGAGACAGAAAATACAAGCAAGTAAAATGAAACTGCTAAGCAGAACTGCGGGTCTAAAGATGATGGACAAAGTCAGAAATGCAGAAATAAGAAGATTAGGTGTCATATACAAATGTAGAAACAAGAAGCTAAGGTGGTTTGGACACATGACCAGAATGCCAGATACAGGATTGGCGAAAAGAAGGAAGTGGAATGACAAAAGACAGTTGTACTTAAGGGACTACCGGAAAGCTGCAGAAGGACTAGCTAAAGACAGAATAAAATGGAAAAAGAAAATAAGAGAAAATTTAAGAAGCACAGAAAATCATCAACCTCTTCACTGGCTTGAAGAGGAACGGATCAAACTAAGAAAACATTGGGATGAGCAGACAGTACAATGACAATTCAACAGATACACAGATAATTCATCGTATGTTGACACAACAGACGACAGACCCACAGACCGCAGCTTTGAAATCACGGCAAGAATAATAAGAATATATGCAAGCTAAACCTTGGCTTGATTCCGGTGAAAGCCTCCGAGTGTCAAGGATCATTAAAGTCGAGATAAATTGGATAGAATACGATCTTGCAATCGCTTTGTCGCCAAAGCGTAAAAGACGCAATGCAGGTAACTTATTTTTTTCGTAATCAGAAATTAGTTTCAATTTGAAGCGCCATCGATGAGACATAACTGAAGCAAGCAATAAAAGAAAAAATAATGTTAGGAAATGTAAATGGAAGTGTAACATTTTTTTGACACAAATCGTTAATAGTCAAGTTTTACAAATTTTACAGAAAATAAAGTTCTCTAATCTGTGTTTAGAACATTGGCATTGAGAACAATAATATTTGAAGTGCAAAGTAAATTCAAGTGGCTTTTGAGTATTTTTACATCATTTCTGAATACATGTACATTTTTTACACCATATGGTAGATTATTATAATGTTTTTACTGCATCATTGACAGGGTTATTTAATCTTATATTATTTCTCGTAGGAATCTGGCACAAATTATTATGTGATATTGTTCAATAATCATGAACTGTATGTGCGATCAGAATGTTCGTATTACACTGTTGTTGGTTATTTAAAATTTTGAAAATCATTTTACATTACTATATTTCCAACAGCTTATCTACTTTACTAATATTCAATTCTGCGTAACTATTATCCGTGTTGGCGAGTCAGTCATAGTTGAACAGAATTCTTAATATTCTATTTTGCGAAACTTCAGCACAAGCCAGCCATCGTCGACGTTGTTTTATATAAAAAAAAATTTAAATTCTCATACCCAGGTATTTGATGCTCGATACTTTTTCTACTTTAACATTATCTATTCTTATGCAAAAGTTTTCAATTATTTTATTCTTCTGTTTAAAAATAAGATATTTTGATTTATCGATTTTGATCTTCGATTTATTCTAATTACTTTATAGAGAAGGACCGAGTCGTCAGAAAAAGTAAAATACTGTGCAGATTAGCAATCTTCAGATTTAGAACATATAGAGAATATAACAGTGGCCCCAAGGCTGACCCCTGGGGGACACCATAGTCACTAGATAACCACTAACTATTTGTTTCAAAAATTTCACATATCGTTTAATGTTAAGTAAGAAGATTTAATCAAATTATACATAGTATCCCTAAAACCCTTATTCAATAATAATATACGGCATCAAATGCCTTTAAGTTTATGAACACATTTTAACCACTCGTTTTTCATCCAGAGCCCTTCAGATATAATTTACAAAATCAACTGGAACTGCAAGCCTACAACTATTTTTACATTGTATTCGTTACTCCTCGTCGGGCAGTCCACAAGTTCTATCAGTCGATCAGTTTGTGTCACTTTGTCAGGTGTGGATTGCAGTCAAGATATTCACGAGTCAGATCATGGGCGGATCAAAGATAAGTGTTTGTGGGACCCCTCCAAAATCAAGATTCCCTCCCCCTTTCAACTATACCGTGGCCCATGCGAACTTTGTGCTTCGGGCACAAGAGATTCCTATAATGAGGCGTAAACCGGCCAAGTCCATTGTTTGGGCAAAATGGGTTGGGTTTATATTCGTGTACAGTCTCAAATTCTGAACCTTCCAGTGCATAAACCAGCTCTGTGACATTTAAATTGCGAAAACTGAAGTGTATAATTAGTTGCTTAAACCTTGCACAGTGCTGTCAATCTAATACAGCACAGATGCCCCGAACGCGGACATAGTTTCCTTCCGTGCGACAAGAGCTTTGAAGCCATAGGAATACAAAAAAGAAAACAAAACATACTTGCCGCAACAGATTATTGAAAATACAAACAAAAACTTTAAAGTCATCCCTGTAGAGAAGGCTATATTTTTAGATTTCAACGCCCATTTGCAACACTTGTTTGTAAAGAATCCTTCAGGGAAGAACAATAACACCGAATCATGCGCTATGAAAAACTAGTTAATGAAATATTATTCAAATGTAGTGAAAACAGTCTCTTTGTATCAGTTTAATATTTTTGAAATCCGAGATAAGAGGAATGTGCAGCCCCTGATTCTACCAAAAACTACAAATAAGATGTAAAGTGAAAGAAGCAAGCTAAAGAAAAATAAATTTGACTACGTTATGATTCTGGGTAAAAACCATGTGCCACAATATGAGCAGTGGTTCTGTCAGAAAATCAGGAAATACCATCAGAGATTTTCGCGAGACGATAAAGAAACTTCCGCATCAGAATTCAGTGAAGATGAATAAATGAAAATACTTTGAGTTTGTATCAAAACTTGAATCAAACCATGTATTAGTTTATTTCATTCAGTAACTTAACAACAAATAAAATTTTGTTTAAGTTTGGTTTTAACCATTAATCTTTCCCTCATAGCTCATTTATTTTTTGTATTTACAGATTGATGTACCTATTTAAAAAATAATGCAGCAGAATTATCTGCAATTGACAACACGAAAATGTTTCCTCAACCTTTGTCCTGGTGTGTCTTGACTTTATAGCCTTCTGGATTTTCATAGTATTTTCTCTCCTTCAGAAAGACTAGGAAATTTCTAGATTCCTACTGTCCCGTGTCAGCGTCCTATTGTGAGGTTATGTTTTCTTTTCGAAGATCAAGAAATTTCCGGCTGATAAAACAGTTGATAAAAATCAAAAGCATGAACAATTTTATGCGAATAGATAACATAACCTCCAAATAGAGCACGGAAGACCAGGAAACAATGAAAATCAAAGAGGCCATGAGGCGTCCTACAATTTTGTAGGAACGAATGGCGATTCGGCCCTAAATCCGCCACTGAGTGGAAAGAAGAACCAAGAACAAAACAAATAATGATGGTGGAGGGTGGATCAGCTCGGTTCTCGTTAATTTGTTATTTCTTACCGACCTTTACTAGAACACAAGAATTTTCCTTTCGAATCGGGGTTTATCCAAGTTAGATGAAAAAGTTCTGAATCCGCAGTCTAATTGTTATCACAGTACGAGTTTACTAATTCACTAAATAATAATGTGCAATTCCGGTTGTGACTTCACACACTCATCTAATAAATCCCACGGCCCCCCCCATTTAGTAATGAACACATCACATAAAACCTAGACTATCATCAGATCCAACAAGTGCATCTAATGAATATCCTATTTAACACAAACCAAGCATGAAACTTACGTGTAATAAAAAGATCCATAGTCGCGTAATCCAAAACAACGAAGTGTGTAAATAATCACTGAGTAAATCACAAAACAATCATTAAACCATAACGAAAACAAACAGTAGCAAAGTGCTTCCACTAATCCTCTTCACGCATCGTTTAAATCCTTTGCAACACTGCATACAATCCTTCAATTTGCGGCTAATCTCCGAGCGAGCCAGCGTGTTTACACGCACTCACGGCGGGTCCGAATGGGGGCGAGATCGAACAGCACGCGTTATTAGCGAAAAAAGTCTGGTTCCGCGTCGAAAATTCTCCGGGATGGCGAAGGGAAAGGCGAGAAAGACGACCGCCCTCACGGTTCGCGACTTGATCGTGTCCCAGCGAAGGCCAGCAACGCACTGCCTATTTCACGTGCAAGCTTCTCTGCAGCGGTCTGCGACGCGGCGTTGCCTGGTTGCCGAAGATTTCTTTGCTCTACTACTGCCTCCCGGGGGCGTACACACTGCGAGGCAAAAGGGTGACGGACATCCGATCCGACGTTCCAGTAAAAAGTGTGCTATAGTCGAAATCACGAAAGATGACGATTACGTCATACCATAAATTGTAACGAAATAATTACCGGACGTACGTCGATGATAAGGTTACGATGTCAGGAACATGTGATCGAAGCTAGCTGATTTCAGTGATTATTTTTATTTATTCTATTTCATGATTTTAAATTATCATTATCCGTGCACAAATTTACATTTTAAGACTTCTATTTGCAATAAAATTACATATTTATTAAAAAAAACAGCATTTCCTCTGTTCACAATAATAGTACGTATTTTGAACCTATTTTTCATCTAATATTGTTGAGTCCCTAGAGTTCTCACCAAAATCATAATAATACATTGGTATCAGCTCCATTAAAACGACCAATTGATTCTGAGAACATGGTTTTATTTTATAAAAAAAATACAAACACAAATAAGCATACCAAAATGAAAATCTTTTTGTACTATTTCATGTCATTCTATCCACTGTTCATTTTAGCATAAGCTACAAAATTATATAAAACATATATCAAATAAAATAAACTGTACATTTCAATATGTTATTCCATTACTTATGGTCAAATTCAGATTAAAAATTAATCGCTACTGTCAGATTCAGTATCGCTATCTGAATCAAATGAGATTATCAGTGGTTCTATTTCACGAGTAATAGTTTTGTTGTACCACTCTAAAATTACATCATGGGTATGCTTCACACATTTTTTCCAATCTTCTGGTGTAATTTTTGACAGAGCTTCATTCCACATAGCTAAAACATTTTCATTACTATGACCACATCTTCCAATACGTCTATCATAATACTGCTTAGCATTGGCCCATATTAACTCGATGGCATTAAATTCACACTGGTATGGGGGGTACGAAGAACTTGTCCATAACTTCTTATGATTTCATCTATTAAAATACTTCTTTTCCTTACGATTTCTTTTCACTATATTCAATAACTCCACTTTAGTTAATGTTGGTTGGAACACAATTTCATTTTTAACCAGCCAGTCAATAATCTCTTTTTTTGGAGAACCTGTGTTTGGAGTCTTTTCCAATAAAATGCTATGATAGGATGCATTATCCATAATTATCACTGATGGCTCTTCCAAGTTGCAGAGGAGTTTTTCTTTTAACCACTTAATGAATGTTTCGCCGTTCATATCACCATGGTAATCTGCAGATTTAGACTGTGAGGAAAATAACAGACTTGCTCCATCAACAAATCCTTTTTCGCTCCCTGCATGGACAACAATAAATCGCTTTCCTTGAAAGCCCAATTGTCTCCTTACACTTTTTATTGACTCATCTTGCCAAGACTTTTTTGGACTGCCTTTTGAAAATATCCATGTTTCATCCATGAAAACAATTTGATGCGAGGAAGTGTTCACATAGTCATTATAACTTCTCAAAAATTTGGTGCGAAGTAAAGCAATACTGGATTGCTCAACAAGA